CCCCCTCCTTCTTGTACTTTTTATTTAGCATTAGGTTATAGCAGGTTCAACTTGGAAATTTTCTTAGAGGCCGCATGTGATTCTCTTGTAGGGCTCTGTCAGCATTCACTTGGTCATTCCCCCATGTGTGGGCATCGAGATTGTACCCCGGATTTCAGCCTGGGTCAGCAACAGGAGGCTGAAACCAAAGGCAGTTGTGTGATAACAGGGGAAAAACCATAAATCCAGTGTTGAGAGGAGCGTGCCCTGGGTAAGATGAGATTATTGCTTAAACCCGGGGACCACTCTGGACTTGGTTGCCCGAAGCACTGTGGGTAATCCCCTCCTCAGTCCTTTTCTATCTCTTATTGTCATGAGATTTGTAGCTGACATTCTTAGACAACCAATCACTGCGTAGGCCTTTCCCACAAAGAATGCCCCTCACTAACCCCGGGCCTTCTCCCCTTTCCTACTCGGTGAGAGGAATTCCATGAGGACTTGTATCATTGCAGGAGGTTGCTGATATCTGACCGAGAACAGAATGATTTCTAGGCTAAATTGCCTCGGGATCCAGGGGTTTTAGTGAGTGTACGGAATTCTATGCCAGGGATTTCTATCAGCAAAGAACTAACACCTTTTGTTTAGATGAGTCTTGGCTGAAAGCAGAGGATACTGGAGCCATGTTTACTTGTGTTTCATTGTTCAGAGGCCTTTGACTGTGTGGATCATAGCAAATTCTGGACAACATTGCACATAATTGTGCTCTTGTAGAAGCTATACAAAGGCAGCTGTCTGAACAGAACAAGTGGCCCCTGCACGGTGCAATCACTGGAAAAGTACACGTCAGGGTTGCATTTCTTCACCGTCGTTTTCAGTCTGTATGGTGAGCAAATGCTTTGAAAAGCTGCACTAAGGAAGCAGAATGAAGTTCAGGGCTGTTGGAAAGGCCATTAGCAAGCCGTGGTATGCAGGTGGCGCCACCTTGCTGATTGAAATTGAAGAGGGCTTGAAGTACTTAGAGATGACGATGACAGACTACAGCCCTCCGTATGGATTCCACCTCAATGGAAAGAAAACAGGAAGTCCTCAGAACTGGTAAGCCCTGTCCCGATGAGCAGAGAAAAGCTTGACGTTGCCAAGTGTTTCACGGGTTCACCAGCCCGCGGAAGCAGCAGTTGAGAGATCCAATGACGGAGTGCATTGGGCAAGCCTGCTTCCGAAGACCTCTTTACAGTGTTGCAAAGTAAAGATGTCATTTGGAGGACAGTGCGCACCAAACTCGAGCCGTGGTGTTCTTAATCCCTCTCTATGTATATGGGAAAACAGCGTGGCGAGTAAGGAAGATCAAAGAATAGATGTCTTTGAATTATGCATTGAGGAGGAACAGACTGCGGACGGCCAGGAGAATGAACAAATCTGTACCGGAAGCACAGCTAGAATACTCCTCAGAAGTGAGGATGGTGAAAAGTGGTCTCACTTCCTTGATACGTCATCAGGAGGGACCCCTTGCTGAAGAAGGACATCATGCTTGAGGGGCCAGTGAAAAAGGAAAACTCCCAATGCAATGAGCAGACATAGTGGCTGCAAAATGGGCTCACACGCTACAATTGTGGGGCGACTCGGTGTTTCCTTGTCTTGCATAGAGGGGCGCTGTGGGTGAGAACTGACCCAATGGCACTGAACCGCGACAACGACCGTACCCAAAGAGCTGTTCAGGGAAAGGTTCCCGGGAGGGGCCAGGGGAGCACCTGCGTTCTTTAGATGTTGCCTGCTGCTCCTATCGCCTAGAGAACGTGTTTGCAAGTACTGCTTCCTGTGACCCACTCCAAACCCATTGAATCAGAAAGAACCTCGAAGGAGTTTTCAAATATCTGTTGCTTATTTGAGGGAGGATTGTGGAGGCACACACACAAAAGAAACATAATTTGACCATGTCATCTACTTATTTGATATGAACTGAGTGCTGGGATTGAGGAAGAAGCTGTGGGGCAGA